AATATTTAAAAGTAGGATATTCTTTACATGTATCTTCCTTTGAAGTTAACTGAACATGTTGACAAAAGACAAATACGACAAAAAATACAGTTGGAAATCAACATGTTGGTTAAAATCTGTTTGATGAACTGAATGTGTACCTAACGTTTGCTGTTTTGGCATTTTAAATGGTCGAATAATTTAATTTAATATGGTGGAGAGCTAGCTAAGCTAATGCTAATAATGCTAATATCCCTCTTACCTGTCGTCTACGTGGCATTTTCCACCTGATGAGCAATATTTCCCGTGAGTTTGTAGTGTCGATTGGCAAAATATCCCAAACTTAAGATATGAAGATGAAAGGAAACTCTTTATTGATTTGTTTCCAGGCAGAAGTTTTTATGTACACAGCGTTGGGTCTATCGCGCCACAGACAGAACGGAGGCTTGCATTTCCGGTGCTGACGTTGATCCGCCGCACCGGCAGGGGGCGACAAGTTCCGGTAGTTCCCATGGTAATAGTGTAAATTCATCATAAGCAGCAACAGATTGCGTTAACATTTTCCACTCAATAGTCAATCAACAATATGAAGTTCCACAAATGTTGTTTTTTAAAGCATTGAACCTTATTTATATCACTAGTAACCAAATAATCTAGTAATATTAGTAGTATAGTTATCCAAGACAAGAACTCAATTTATTGAACATGTCAGAAACAAAACATACATCAATACTAATAATAATATATATTGCTTCTTCCTTTTCTTCCTTCTCACTCATAATAATAATAATTATACCAAAGTACAATAAAATAAATAATAATGATAATGCAAAAAAAAAAAAAAAATAAATAAAAAGAAACAACAACAATAAATCTTAAATTAGTCTCTGTCGTGTTCAACAGGGGCAAGAAGAAGCTTAAAAAACGTTTCTGGTCCTACCCCTTCTAGCGTACATTTTCCTTGCAGTATAAATGAAGTAATTAGGTCATCGTCATCAGCGACATGTTTGTCTTGATACTTTTTTACAAAAACAATCAGGAAGTAATTACTTTTACAATTACAGGAAATAACAAAAATAATTTTTACAGGTACTGTTCATAACCACTAATGGTTTGGCTCTTGAATAATACTTTCATTTTATATAAAGTTGTACAATTTTTCAGTGCATCACTACATTTATTCCACAGACTAACACCTTTTGATGAGATGCAATGAAGTTTGGCATTTGTACGTACGGGTGGTTTTTTGAAAATGCAGTTTCCTCTCAACATGTGCATGCCTTCTCTCCGTGTAAAAAGTCCCTGGACACCCTGAGGCAAATGATGATTTGCGGCCTTGTACATAATTTGAATGGTTTTATAGTCAACCAGGTCTTGTAGTTTTAGTGTTTTTAGTTTGATAAATAATTTATTTGTTGGTTCTCTGTACGAAGTTTTGTGTATAACTCGTATTGCTCTTTTTTGCAGGATGAAGATAGGATGTGTATTTGTTTTGTATGTGTTCCCCCAAACCTCCACACAATACATCATGTATGGAAGTATGAAGGAGCAGTACAGCATAAACAAGGAAGCTTGATTAACTAGGTATTTGGCTTTATTTAGAATTGCTATTGATTTGGATATTTTGGCTTTGATATAGCTTATATGTGGTTTCCAACTTAATTTATTGTCTATGATTATTCCAAGGAATTTTATTTCCGTTACTCTTTCTAGTTGGACGCCATTTATAGTGAGTTTCTTCTCTGTATTGGTCGACCGATTCCCAAATATTATGAGTTTGGTTTTGCTTGCGTTCAATGTTAATTTATTTTGGTCAAACCAGATCTTCATCCTGCTCAGTTCCTTTTCCATTGTGACCAATAGCTGTTCTAGATTGTCCCCACAGCAGAGTAGACTTGTGTCATCTGCAAAAAGAATGGTTTTAACAGTTGTCCACACAACATATAGCAGCAAATGAACATCAGATTGCTTTTTAATTTGCATTATTTTCTATTTAATACAAGAGAGTAATGTAGGCCTGTTATACTGAGTGACTGTTACACACTGCTCTGCTTTCTGCACTGACCTCACAGCTGTTCTCACTGTAAACATCGCGATGAAAGCAGTTAATAAAATAATATCCAGGGGATGCATGCAGAGCTGTCATTGGCTGAGATAAGTCCGGCCGTGCGTCACATCCGCGGAGGACCGTGGAGGACCCATCAGTGTATCCTCGATTATAGCTCCTCCAGAGAGCCTCCTTGACGCTCGACGCTCGATCCTCGGTCCTCGATGTGCATTTAGAGAAATTAGGGGTGTTTCTCAATCGCGAGTACGCTTGCTTGGTAGCACATGTCTGCCGAGCATCTTGCTTCAGAAGCGAGTCAAGAATACTTCCTGGCATTCGGAAAACGAAGGGTGTTTCTCAATCGCGAGTACGCTTGCTTGGTAGCACATGTCTGCCGAGCATCTTGCTTCAGAAGTGAGTCAAGAATACTTCCTGACATTTGGAAAACAAAGAGTGGAACACCTAGCAAGTGTGCAGGTGTGCGTCATATGAGGCCCCGCCTTACATCTTCCGCCACAGATTTGGGGAAATTGGTCCGTGCGCAAAGCATTGTGGGGATTTTAAGACCGCGGAGTCTACTCATGTGCAGCCTCGATATTTCTCCAAACGGAGTGCGCTGGGCTCGGTAGATTTCCAAGTATGCTGGAGATTGGAACAGTACTTCGGCGGCACTCGATGACGTAGTATGCTTGAAATAGTGGCTCTGAAGCAGCTTTACTCGCGATTGAGAAACACCCTAGATGTCCTTCAACATGGCGCGCCAAAAAACATTTCCGGTTCACTACCGGAGGACCGAGGATTCGAGGAGTCGAGGAGGGGAAATGAGAGAAATAAGAAAGGCCCCCAGACTTGTATCGGAGCAGCGGAGGAGTGATGAGGTATCTAGAGATCTGAGTCCAGTGGGCTGCTTGTGTTTCTGTTCATCAGGACATCATATGACCAGCAGATCCTGTGTGAACGCACTACGTTAGTCAGTGGACGTCCGACAACATGCACACTAACTTATATTGCAGTTAATTACATTCATCCAATGTCAGAAGGATTACCTTTTAACAAACGTAATCCTTTTCTTTCATTTCAATTTGAGTAAACATTGAAGATATAACATTGTATTGTTTTCTTTTTACACTGACTCAGATATAATGAAAATACCACGTCAGTCGAAGCTCAGCGTTGGTAAGGAAGAGACAGGACAGGCAGAGAGAAAGAGAGAAAGAGAAAGTGATGGAAATCAGGGAGGAACTGCAGGTATGTGTGCTGTTGTAAAGTGTTTTTATTGTAAAGTGTTTTTATTGTATGTACAGCACTTTGGCTCGACCAAAGAAAAAGTGCTATATAAATCAAACTTGATTTGATTTGATTTTACAGTCACACAAAAGAATGTAGGCTTAATAACCCCATCTATCCATCTATCTATCTATCTATCTATCTATATATATATATATCCATCTATCTATCTATAACTTAGTCTTCATTTACAATATAGACAATAGGCATCATTTTAAAACAACATACATCTATTGCAGTTAGGATGTCATAATAACATACAATTGTATAAAACACAATTTGCTTACATCTTTGTTCTCTTTTGAGAATCAAACAAAACAGATTTAAAAAAAAAAAAAAATGCAAACAAACAAGTGAAATGAACTAAATTGCTGAATTGCTTTTAATTCACTGGCAGGAGCGACAAGTGAGGAGGAGAAAAGTGAACAACGAGGGAGAGATTGAACAAAGAGAAAGAGTAGAGGACAGAGAGAGTAATGAACAGGAAGAAGACAGAGAGACTAAAGAAGATGGAAGAGAGGGTGCAGGTTATGGAAAGGAGAGAGACATGGAAAATGAATGTTGACAATGTTTTCTGATCATTTTAGCCTCTTCTGCATGTCCAGATCATTAATAGTAACAACTGATTCAAAATAATTTATGCTGCAGCCCACTGACATGGTTTGAAATCGATATATTATCCAGTTTGTGACCCCCCACAGGACTTAAAAAGCACCTAACTAGATCATGAAAATCCCAAAAATCTCGGGGGGGTATATCCCCGAACCCCCCAAGCATGTTCGGACCTCGGTATTTAGGAAATCCTGGATACGGCCCTGGTTCCAATTGTGGGCACCGGCTATTTAAACTGAGGTGCCAAACAGGGTCTCTCCCATTTCCGCTTCTCCTGTGGTGGCTGCAGCCTGGCGTGGTGACGCAAATGTTTTGGCGTGGCAACGTTCATGTCCTACTCTCTACCGGACAGGTGTGCAGTCTGTCAATGTGAGGAGATAGAATGTTGTTCAAGCTTAAATATTCTTTGATTTGATCATTCACCAGCCTTTCAAGTACTTTAGCTAAAATAGAGAGCTTGGAAATTGGTCTGTAATTATTCATCACCATGGGATCACCACCTTTCAATAAGGGGAGAACATTTGCAGTTTTCCAAACATCTGGAATGACATTGTTTGTTATAGAAAGATTAAAAACATGACACACTGGCTATAATATCTGCAGCTAGACGTAAGAAATAAGGGGGGAGATCGTCTGGGCCTGCTGATTTATTGGGCTCTAGGCCCTTTAGAGCCTTACAAACCTCCCCAACAGAGAAGGGGTCGAAGGAGAAAGTGTGGCTACTGGAAGAAGTTATGTAACATCTAATGTAAACATGAATGGACCAAGGATAGACCCCTGTGGAACCTCTTTCTGATGGTAAAATGGCCTGAATGAGTACAGTCAGCAACGGTAATAGTTTATGGTTCAAAGCGACGCTCTATCTAGCTTTTAGAAATCAGTAGGCTTTAGCTTGTTGTTAAATTACCACATATTTATAACATTATTACTGTGGTGCCTTGTTCTTTAGGGAGCTTTGTGTGTGTTTTTGCTGTGGAAATAAATACAAGTTGACAACTTAAGTGCATGCATTTGAATATTATTGAGAACATTTGAACAACTTTTTAAATCCACACAACATATTTTAACAGCGAGTTGTGTCAAGTCTCAGTGCACTAGTGAAGGTGTTCTCCCATGTGGTCTGGTTCTCTGAAACTCTTCTCACAGTGAGCACAGACGTCAGGTTTTTCTCCAGTGTGGGTAGGCTGGTGGACCTTCACACTATATGAGTCCCTGAACTCTTTCTTCCACCGGTCAAAGGAGTGGTTTATCTGGTGGCGCTTCAATGAGTCTGACTCCCTGAAACACTTCTCACACTGGTCACAGGTGAAAAGCTTCTCTCCAGTGTGGGTTTGCTTGTGAGTCGTCAAATAGCTTGACCTTGTATAACTCTTCTCACAGAGGTCACAGGAGTAGGGTTTTTCTCCAGTGTGGGTTCGCAGGTGAATCTTCAATTTGGCTGACTGGCTAAAGCTCTTCCCACACTGGTCACAGGTGAAAGGCTTCTCTCCAGTGTGGGTTCGCAGGTGAATCTTCAAATCACCTGACTGGTTAAAGCTCTTCTCACAGAGGTCACAGGAGTAGGGTTTTTCTCCAGTGTGGGTTCGCAGGTGAATCTTCAATTTGGCTGACTGGCTAAAGCTCTTCCCACATTGGTCACAGGTGAAAGGCTTCTCTCCAGTGTGGGTTCGCAGGTGAATCTTCAAATTGGCTGACTGGCTAAAGCTCTTCCCACACTGGTCACAGGTGAAAGGCTTCTCTCCAGTGTGGGTTCGCAGGTGAATCTTCAAATCACCTGACTGGTTAAAGCTCTTCTCACAGAGGTCACAGGAGTAGGGTTTTTCTCCAGTGTGGGTTCGCAGGTGAATCTTCAATTTGGCTGACTGGCTAAAGCTCTTCCCACATTGGTCACAGGTGAAAGGCTTCTCTCCAGTGTGGGTTTGCTGGTGGACCTTCAAATTGCCTGACTTGTTAAAGCTCTTCTCACACTGGTCACAGGAGTAGGGTTTTTCTCCAGTGTGGGTTCGCAGGTGCATCTTCAAATCGCTTGACTGGCTAAAGCTCTTCCCACACTGGTCACAGGAGTAGGGTTTTTCTCCAGTGTGGGTTCGCTGGTGGACCTTCAAATGGCATGACTTGTTAAAGCTCTTATCACACTGGTCACAGGTGAAAGGCTTCTCTCCAGTGTGGGTTCGCTGGTGGACCTTCAAATGGCCTGACTGGCTAAAGCTCTTCCCACACTGGTCACAGGTGAAAGGCTTCTCTCCAGTGTGGGTACGTTTGTGGCGCTTCAATATCCCTGAACTCCAGAAACTCTTCTCACACTGGTCACAGGTGTGTGGTTTTCCTATCGTGGCTGTAGACTGATGTTGATCCAGCTGTTCTCCGATGATACTCTTCTCCCCCTCATCATAAAGTCTATCTGGGTTTTTGCAGGTCTCTTCCTATAAAACAAAAAAACAAATCAACAGAGAAAGTGTATTAGGACACATATGAATGTCTTGATGCAAGTTAAAAATGGACGTGACAGAAGTAAAGTAAGGTTTTTAATGAAACCCGAGAATGCATTCTGACTCGTTGTGGCCTAAAATACCGCTGAATAAAGGAAGAAGTATAAATACCCATTAACTTGATACAACTTCTGCACAAAGACGCACTGATTGGTTGTTTGATTCAGATTAATTTGTTATTATTTTTAAAATAAATACAAAAGGGGTTGGCTCTCAGACACATTTTTTAAATATTATTCAAAACATGCAAAATCTAAATGTGTTTTTTTCAACCAGTTTCATGATGGAATATTGCATACTTTATCTGTTATAAGGTTCGAGTTATGTATAGCTAAATACAAAAAACTAAAAGGGTTGAAGCACACAAACTCGTTTCATTGTTTTATAAATTAGTTATAGTATCCAGGTATCACTAGCTATTAGAATATCTACACCGTGAATTTGAAAATAATGAAAATGAAATGATCACATTATATCAGTAAATTCAGAGGTAGGAAGTACATTTACTCAGGTACTTGTACTTAAGTACAATTTTGAGGTACTCCATTTTATGCTACTGTGTACTTCTACTCAACTACAGTTCAGAGGTAAATGGTGTACTTTTACTCCACTACATGTATGATGAATGATGTGAAATATAATCAAGTGTTAAATCAGACTTTAGTTCCACCTGGAGTAAATCCACAAGCTACCCTGCAGTATACAAAGTCATTCAAACTAGCTGCACCTTTACCAGCTTTGAGAACACTTTAGTGATCAATCATTATAAAACATATCAGATATATTATTCTGAAATGGACCAATCTGCACAATGACTACTTTTACTGTCGCTGTCAAACTATATTTTGATGAGAATACTTTTATACTTTTACTTGAGGAACATTTTGAATGCAGGACTTTTACTGTAACAGAGTATTCCTACACTCTGGTACGTCTACTTTTACTCAAGTACAAGATCTGACTACTTCTACTTTTACTTAAATACAAGATCTGAGTACTTCTACTTTTACCCAAGTACAAGATCTGAGTACTTCTACTTTTACTCAAGTACAAGATCTGAGTACTTCTACTTTTACTTAAATACAAGATCTGAGTACTTCTACTTTTACTCAAGTACAAGATCTGAGTACTTCTACTTTTACCCAAGTACAAGATCTGAGTACTTCTACTTTTACTCAAGTACAAGATCTGAGTACTTCTCCCACCTCTGAGTAAATGTGATTGATCAGATGTTAACAACTCCTTGTGTATGCTACTGTAGCTTTAGCACTCACTATTTGCTACAGGTGATTTCCTGTTTAAATCTTTGATTGATTTTGATGTTTCCTAGCAACCAATGTGATTCACTCAATATAACGAATGCTTTTTTAATTCTTCATTGTTTAGACTCAAATGCAACCATGTAAACAATTCTGAAAACTTAAATCAACAGGACTCTAGACTGCTAAACTTTAAACAGAATGTCATTGTTTTCACTCAAATATGAATAATTATTTAACCAGGATTTTCACTTTTAAAAGTTAAAGTAACTTACCTCTGCTGATGAAGTCATTCTGCTGCTTGTGTTATCGACAACCTGAAGTTCAGCCATCTGCAATAACAGACATTACCATATTACTTATTAGCCAACTACAGGAATTAAAATAAACATTTTGTGTTTTTCTAAATGTTAACCTTGAGACCATTCATTTGACAAAACAATCACTACCACAAAGCTCAAAGACAGATGGAGTCCATCCAGTTAGACACTTGCACATCTGACAAATAATAGAGACATATCTTGTTGTGCTTCAGTTTGTGCATTTTTTTAATAAATGCAGCTTTAAAAAGCTATATATTACAAATATAATACCATTAAAAACTGCCACCAAACATCAAGATTGTCACAATCTGGCTGTGTTGTGTTTTGTCATGTCTAGATCTGTCTTTGGTTTCCTGTCTCTGTGTTCACCCCCCCGTCTTGCCTGTTGCTTCCTGCCTCTGTGTTCCCTCCTGCCTGATTACCTGATTGTGTTCACCTGGTGCCCCTGTGTTTTCTCCTCCCTCCTCACCTGTGTCTTGCTTGTGCGATTAGTCTTGTGTGCATTTAAGTTCTGGTTTTTCTGTCTGTCGTTGTGAGATTATTGTTTGTTGTTGACTGTGTTCACGGGGGAGAGAGTTCTGCTCTGTATGTTCTTGTAGCCTTGAAATAAAGGTATTTTCTGTTTAATCTGCATTTGGGTCCTGCCTGCTTCACTCAACCCTGACAAAGATGACGAATTTATTTTATTTCTTGTTATTTTTTCTTAATGCTTTCAACCAAGCTACATAACCAAATTTGCTTCTGGCTTTTAAGTTTATAAGCTATCACTAAACACTCCCACTAAATCTGACTAGCCTTTTTTAAAGAAAATCCTAACACCATATAAAAATCATGGCAAGAAACACATGAAAGTAGCTCTGACCCCGCCCACACTATATTTAACTTAAAGTGGACCTATCATGCTATATTTGAATAATATAGTGTAGGACCATACCTATACAAGGCATATTTATACTTTTTTTTTTTTCAAAATACCAAACAGATCATGCATTTTAGCCATGCCTCATTTTGCTCAATTTGACATTTTTTAGCTCTGTTTTTGCAAGGGCAGATTATGGGAGAACAGCACCATCTACAGGCCTGGCATATGTACTACAGCGTCTCCAGCGCTTTCTAACTGCAATGGCCGTGGCTGTCTCCTCCTGATTGGTGGAGTTGGCCCAATAGCCGTAGCGCCACTGTCCTGACGTCAGGACAGTGTTCAAATCTGGATCAGTTTGTATCAGATCCGTTGCAGCCCCTTTTTTAGAGATTTGGGTATGGAGGAAAATAGAGAGGGTTGTGTTTTCTGACACTTGGTGAGTTCCCTGGAACACCGGGGACACATATTCATGTATATGACGTACAAAAGTGCATTTTGCATGATAGGTCCCCTTTAACTATGACAAGTGGTCCATTGTTTTGTGAAGAGTCTACACGATGTATAAGATAATAACACTTCCTCCAATGTTGTTTAAACTTCTACTCCACGGTGACTACTTATAATAGCAGAAAATACAAATAATAGTCTAAGTCGTTTTTAGTGTTTATTGACTTCTATGATCCCAGAAGCTGTTTAGTTTTTCAGGTGCTCCATTTGTTGTCTCTGTTTTGTGTCTCCCTGCCCCCACCTCACCCTCTCAGCCCCCAGTTGTTGGTAGGGGGCAGGAGAATTGGAGAACCAAGAAAAGGCGTCTGTTTTCCGGAAAGTTCTACGGACCAATAAGGGCAGGGGAAGGGTCTGGCATCTCCCCCAGCAGCTGATACTCACTGCTCTATATTTAGATATAGGCTACAGGGCCTGGCCACTGCATTAGAGCACACGGGACAAACCAGCCACATGCTTGTTACTTTCAGGCAGTCAAAGGAGTACAAAAAAGGAGTTTCTGATTTAATACTACGCAAGAATAACAATGAACAAGGTTCAAATTGTGAGACCAGAGGAGAGGTAAGTGCTGTCGTCTCTCTTTGAGTCGAGACCAACAAATGCTTCCTTTACTAATTCTAATATTTGATTATACTGTATGTTTGAGTCATAACTATAAACGTTTCTCTTTGTTCTTTACAGCCAGCCAGCACGTGCGGTTTGGTATGACAGAAAGAAATACGTCACCATCACCTTCATGGTTCATAAACCTAAAGATGTCCAGGTGGATATCCAGCCAGACAAAATGATTTTATAGTAAGTAAAATGTAGGTGTATTGTTTCTCTGTTAGTGATATGAATTGGTCTCTTTCTGTCTCTCTTGTGAACATGTTTCTTTCAGACAGGGGAATGATATTCTGATCAGTTGTCAATTTAACATGTGGTCAATTGTGATGTTTCTGTACTAATTTGTTCCCCTGTCCTGTCTTTACAACAGCTGCAAAAACGACACAGATGATGTCTTCTACAACGTGCTGCCCTTCTATGAAAACATTCAAATTAATGTAAGCAATCCATTTTTCGCCATGATTTATGTTCTCTGTTGAACAATCAGTGCAATGTTAAATATAGCTGTGATTTTATCTTTCCCACACATTAACAGGACTCCAGAGAAAGAGTCTATGACCGCAGCATCCATATCTTGCTAAGGAAGCTTAAGCCTGATTATTCATGGCCTCATCTCCAGAAGGATGAGGCTAGGGTAAGTGTGTGTGTGTGTGTGTGTGTGTGTGTGTTATAGAATTGATGATACATTTAAAATATATTTATTATAGGTTTATTTCTATTCTATTTTTCCATTGCTCTTCTTATTAACATAATCAACTATATCAGTCAATGGAGAAGCATAACTTTTATTCTTTGACTCTAAATGGAAAAGGGGGATAAACATTGGGAAAAAGGGGATTTTTAATAACGAGTAAGATGTCTGATGTTTCTTTTTACCTCTTTTATACTCATTATAAACTGTACTTGGCTTTATTTGAACATTTTCACTGATTGTGCTGTATTATCAAAGTCCTCTCCTGTTCTATGTAAAAGATAAGTGAATAAAGTGAAATAACGTGAGGTCGACACACTTTTGAGACACTGTGGATGAAAAACACAGGCTAGGAAACATTGCCTTGACTTACTTAAGACATTTACACTATACTGAGTTAGTCAACATGAATTACAGACACCCCCCAAAAGCTGTTGGAAACAAGCTGCTGCTACGTTAGCTGCAACATTTTAAAGTGTGTTGTTTCTCCATCTTTTTTGCAGCCCAGCTGGATTTCCGTGGACTTTGATAACTGGAGGGACTGGGAGAATGAAGTAGAAGATGGAAAGGAAGAGTTCGATATGTACGCAGATGTGAGTAAATGTCATTTGTCCAGTAGATCAACTCAATTCTGATTCAATGAACTTTTCTATATTGTCTTTCTCAGAGTTTTCTTAGGTGCCTGTGTGAGGATTTGAGTTTTCTCTTTCTTTTCAGATGATCCAAGAAATGTCTTCCAAGAATAAAGGAGTAGCACCAGATATGGACGATCTTGATGTAAGTGAAGCAGGAAGGTTTTCCTACAAATAAATGTGAATTCATTCCTCTTTTTTAAAATCATTTTAACGTTGACTTTCTTCTCTCTTCCTCTACAGTCTGACTGAGTAAGCATCATCTGTGTTGAAGGCCACGGTAACTTGATAGGACACTGAAGACAGTGCTAGTTGCTGAAGTTTGTGGATGATTTGATATACTCGTCCAAAAATACTGTTTTTATGTAATTGATGTTTTCTATCGGATTATTTAATGGAATATTATTGTCCACTGTTTGCTGACATATTGATAATTTGAATACATTACATGTTACTTGTTAGATGCTTTTATCCAAAGCGACTTACATACTCAATACTGTGGGCAATCCCCACTGGAGCAATTTGGGGTGAAGTGTCTTGCCCAGGGACACAACGACATGCTGACTGCAGTGGGGTTTGAACCTGTTTGACCCCCTGATCCGAACACCTACGGACAGCCCACTACGCCACACGCCTCCCAATAAAAACAAGTGAATCAACCATGGTTTGAAAATTCATTATGATATGATGCATGGGGTAATAGCCTTTATTTAAAGTTAATAGTAGATAGAATATAATTAGAATTGGGAGGGATGAACCCCTCTTTAATGGTCACACATGCAGAGCACACAGTGACATTTGTTCTCTGCTTTTAACCCATCCTAGTACCAGCAGTGGGCAGCGATTGTACAGCGCCCGGGGAGCAATGGGAGTGAGGGGGGAAGGGGGATGTCTGGTGCCTTGCTCAAGGGCACCACGGCAGGGCAGGAGGTGAACTGGGACCTCTCCATATTTAGGTCTGGTTGGGGACTTGAACCGGCGACCCTACGGCTCACAGTCCAAGCCCCCTACTGACTGAGCCACTGCCGTAATACTGGAGAAAATGTGTGTTTGCCAGATGATGACAGTAAAGCAGCTTCATTTATTATTTTTTCATTCTTGATAAAGCCTGCAAATTAACCCTCAACATTGACACAGATGCCTTCTTATGTTTATTGTTATGTATAGTTGCATTTCAACAAACATGTTTTAAATGCTTATTATCATATCTCAGTCTTCTAAAAAACTGTTTGTGAAAGGTAATGATGCACAGATTCTAGCACATGAAACATAATTAATATATATTGTGTTTTTTTTTTATTTATTTATTTTTTTTATAAGGCTATCTTATAATTCACGTACCCACATTGCCGGCAACACCTACTGAAATAAGATGGGAGAGTACTGAAAATGAATAGGTCTTCAACCCCGACATTTTAATTATTTTTTTATTCTCTATTTTGATGAATATATTAAAGATTGTGTCATTAAAAAAAGGTAAAAGTCGAAGCCAGTAAAAGGCGGTTTATGGAGTTTGGACCACGCTGCTACCCGTACTGAGCTGACAGCTGTAGCCGACTGAGCCGACTGAACTTACTCGTGTTTCAGGTGGAGCTTTTCCTCAAAAACACTCCAGCATGGCTTTTCAATGTCAACGAGACTGCTATATGAAAGAGGTATGAAACTTTTGAAATACAATTTATCAGCGTTTAACTCATTTACAGCCTGCAAAACACCACCTTTCACATTCATGCTCTGCAGAAGTGGTTAGCATATGGTGGCTAGCTAACGTTACAGTGGATGCAGGAGCTAGCACTGTCACAACACATAATACAATTATACATTAGGTATGGTATTTGACATGTTATATAATGCTGTGACAACTTATAAAAGTTGCATTATGTTTATTTCTAGCTAGCCACTTACAGTCATGTTGTTAACCAAAACGCATTGAGTTTTCAAATTTCATTCATATTTACCTTAGAAATTACCCAGTATCTCATACCTAACATGCACACAGGTGCTTTTAGTCTCCATTTAGTTTATAAAAAGACTATACAATATGTAATAAAGGGAATTCTATACGTTTTTCTTTCCTATTAGTTTGTTACCTCTGTAGTGTCCTGCTGCCCAGCTGAGCTTAAACATGAAGTGAATGGAAAGAAAGAAACTCTTAAAGGCTTCAATGTCAAACTCCAAGACACCATCTTGTTTCCTGAAGGAGGAGGACAGGTAAGCTATCAAATCATACTAATTAAATGTCTCCATCAAGGTACTTCTATCAGTGTTTACTGCAAAATCATAAATGTTCAATAAAAGTCACTAAAAAGCCATTTTACATGATATGTTTTTGATAATTTCCATGCTTTGTGTTGTCCTGCTGCAGCCAGATGACCACGGTCTGATTGGAGACGTCCCGGTGGTGAGGGTGACGAGGCAAGGGGCCGACGCCGTGCACTTTGTGGGCTCTCCTCTGGAGGAGGGGCAGGAGGTGCAGGTGAAGGTGGACTGGGAGAGGAGGTTTGACCACATGCAGCAACACTCAGGTGAGTAACACCAAAGTAATAATGGTGGGTAATAACGAAAGGCTGCCCACTTTAAGTCAACTAATCAGTCTTTTTGTCATCTTATATTTCATTTTTTTATGCTTTTTCATGCTGAATGACTTATTTCCAAGACATTCAGAAGCACATCTGTTAAAATTTTTATTAAAAGTAGTGCTTTTGTATAATTCTTTGTGGATAAACTCATAAATTAAACCCACTAATTGATTGGTAATTGTAAGCGTTTGTTTTCTAAGAATTACTTTGTGTGGCACATTATAAGACTGGAGTTAAACCTTTGCCAGATTGAAATAATAATGCGTTACTGATTATACATTTTTATTGCACTTTTCTAAGTCACTGTTTCCTTCCTTACTCTCAGGTCAACATGTGATCACAGCTTTGGCAGAACACATGTTTGGATACATGACCACGTCCTGGTACATAACCTCTGCACAGATTACTTCTTTGTAACGTTAAAAGCTTGTCGTTTTACCTCCTTTTCTCTGTGTTTTCTACAGGGAACTGGGGCGTCAGAGAAGCACCATAGAGCTGGACACTCCCTCGGTGAAGCCTGCCCAGCTGCAGGCCCTGGAGGAGGCCGTTAACGAGAAGATCAGAGTCCATACCCCCGTCACTGTTCAGCTTCTCTCTATAGATGATCCCGATGTGGAAAAGGTGCAAACACTGAGATTAGTGGTGCTAAAATACAGTCCGAATACAATGCAATTAACACACGTTTTAGACATGAATTCAACATAAGTTATCTGTTGAATGTAAAGCATTTATTTGAAAAAAATGAATGTAACATGGACAGTTTGTTACATAAGTTGTGTGTGTTGACTAGGTGAGGAGTCGGGGGCTTCCAGATGATCACGCTGGGCCGATTCGGATCATTGATATCGAGGGCGTCGATGCTAACATGTGCTGTGGAACCCATGTGTCCAACCTCAGTCACCTACAGGTTCAACTCCACACACACATGCACATACACACATGCACTCAAGATGTTCCTCATCTGACTTATTTATATTCCTAACATTTCTCTAAATCTCAATTTTTAGGTAATAAAGCTGCTGGGAACAGAGAAGGGAAAGAAAAACAAAACCAACCTGATCTTCCTGACAGGAAACAGGGTGTTGAAGTATGCTGAGAAAAGCTACAGCACAGAGCGATCGCTGGTGTCTCTCCTGAAGTAAGTGGGAATTATCTAAATATTATTTGCGAGTTAAAGTTATTCACAAAGTCTAAGTGACAAAATGATTGTGTTTGTTCTACAGGACTGGACCTGATGAGCACGTAGAGGCTGTTGACAAGTTGCAGAAGTCTGTGAAGCTACTACTGAAAGTAAGAGACCCATTTACATGACATCTTTCCATTTTGACAAGCTCTGTATATATGTAACATACAGTATCACTCCAACACATTGCACATGGACTCCCTAACAGTCATTCAAATCGTTTGTGCAGACTAACCTGAGCTTGCTTCGAGACATGGCTGTCGTCATCACTCAGAACTTTAAGAACGACCCCCAGAGAGGGAACTTCTTCAGCTTGCACAAGTAAGAGACAATACACGTGTTCAAGTTGAAGGGCTAGTTAACGGAAGTCAGGGGAAAATGTAATGATCAACTTTCAAGTCAGATCTTTAAAAGCTTAAATGTTTTTGGCATGTATTCAGCCGTCCTTTAAGTGGTTTCTGTAATACTTATTTTGGCCACAAGAGGCTGAAATGCTGAATAGGAATAAAAGCAGCAGATTAGCAGCTGTTAAAATACATTTCTAGCCAAAAGAAAGACATGACAGTAGATGCACTTGCCAAATTGAAGATAACTAAAAAGAAAACACCTAAAATAATGCTGACAAAGAAATGTCCAACTGCCAGAAATGTTAGATAAAAATGTAAAAAAAATAGTCTATTCTTGTCGCCCACAAACAAGTTAAGATTTTGGAAAATGGATAACCTTTTTTGTCTTACTTGCCTCTCAGGGCAAGCTTGTTTGTAGGTCAGCATTTAAAGTACATACATTGATATTTGCATGTCAGAAAAAACCCACTTCTCTTTCTTCCTACAGAAAAGAGGGTGACAATGAATTCATGAACATCATTGCCAATGAATTAACCACTGAGGTAAGTTTCTAATCCTCTACCTGTTCACTTCAACATCTTAGCTGTCTTCTTTGTTAAACCAGATTTTGTCTGCTTTTAGGGAACTTTTGTTTTCCTGACTGTTGGAGAAGAGAAGGGCCCGGGTCTGTTCCTACTGGCTGGACCCAGTGAGCGAGTGGCCGAGATGGGCCCGCGGTAAGAGACGACACCACATTATGAAGCCATTGCTTTAAAAAAAAGTTGTTTGCGGGTGAGATATTAATTTCCTGTGCTCTCCAGGGTGCTGGAGATGCTCCAAGGGAAGGGGGCAGGAAAAAATGGACGTTTCCAAGGAAAAGCTAACAGCCTGGCCCGCAGAGGGGAGGTCGAGGCTTTCCTGGAGCAGCAATGCAAACAACAGGAAGAATAAACCCAGCAATGATTTAATAACAAATACATATTTTTTTATGAACACTACTTTTAGAAGCCATTAAGAATAGCTTACCGGATTTTTGCGGTAAAGACTAAATGTTAGTGTCATTACACGTACCAAGAAATTGGATAATTTATTTTAAAATGTGTATTTCATGGACGTGCTGTACATATTTGAATGTTAAATGTCATTTACAGTTTTAACTGTTTAAAACTCTTTGTTAAACCTCATCTGTGATATGATTTTGTGTTGAGTCTTATTTCAGAAACCCTGCTTGCTAGTGGTGTTTACAGCCGCTTGCAACATTAAAAATGCATTTCTACCGACTGATAAAACAAAAACCAACACTGTTTGAACATCATTTTTAATACATTTAATTTAAAATGTAATGTACAAAACACAGACAATTTTATGGCTGTCTTTAAAGTCTTACATTGTTTTTGGCATTTAAGTAGGCAGAAAATAGAAACCCTTGTAATGCAATAAAAACAACAGTCCTAATCAATCCTACCTTTTTTAACAGTTATTATTTGATCGCCTCATTAACATACGAGTAGTGACACCCTACAACACAACCATTTAATCAATCTAAAATCCTATAAGTGAATCTTTTACACATTAACAAAATACATTTAAAGTTAAATTAGGACGGTTGTATTGCATTAAATGATACAGGGGCTTCTGTTTTCCCAGTGTGTGATAAAAGCAGTTTGGAAACATTAGTTATTGCTCACGTCTGTCACAGTGTAGCGGTGTGTTCATGATAAGATAACGTGGTGCAAATGTGCAAGCACCCCTTCCCCATTTAGACCTTTATAAAATACTATAGGCAATAAAAAGATATTGACAGTGGTTTGGCCGTAACGTGATCGTCCTCTAGACAGTTTTCCAGTTCCATTTCTCCGCCTCCTTTGTCGGGTTATTGCTAAGGTTTCACCAACTTCATTGCGATGTAGTTCTGGAAAAATAAAATTATTTAAAATCACAGCTTCTCTCAAGAATAAATCATAAAGACCCTCCTTATGCTCTCGTGGATTCTTACCGGTAAGGAGTACAACAGGATGCCGAGGAAGAGCAGCACTAAGATGAGGATGAGGAGTCCGATGAAGAGGCACCTGAACCTTCGCCACACGATGAACTTCATGGTCTTACATGGGTTTGTGAACCAAAAGAAGGACGTTTCTGGGCGTCTGATGAGATACAAATAATAATTATTAGTCCAACAACAAGAGGAGGTAAAGAAAAGCAAGATAACAAAAAATGGGTAATAAAGTGGAGAATAAATGATAATGAATATGTTTATTTGATCTGCAAAACTACACATTTCCATCTTTTAGGTAGCAAAAAAATAATGAGATGACTTAATTTAGATTTCATCTGCAGTGTAAAAAAGGGTTTGTTTCACAGGGTGGGGTCTTACTTGGGAGGGTCCAGTTTTGGGTTCATGTTGGGGTCGTCCCGGCCTTTCCCTGCAGGTTTTTCATCTACTTCTGCTTCACCTACGATCTCCAGAGTCATCTCCACTTTGCCCTGTAAGCACATGATGACAATGAGGATCTCTGACACTTTCTGAATGTTAAAATCTATTCATCGAGCTTCTAAAAGGCAATATATAAAACTGCAACATTTGGGGCTAAAACTTAAGCATGCAAGCCAACAGTGTCCTTAATGTGAATTTCTAAATTTCCTGCAGGAGGTCTTTCACTTATGCCACATTTGCTTCGTATCCAACCCCGTTACGGTTCTGTTATTTCCTCCAAAAAATGAATACATCCATCTCTAGGTGTACTTTTTAATTCCCACTTACACCCAGGACCCTCTCTCCGTCCTGTTCGATGGAGCAGGGCCACCAGCCTCTGACGGACTGCTGGGAGAACAGACACTTCTCATTCTCCTTCTTGACTGGAGATCCCATTTCCAGATCCCCCATCATCATCAGAGAGCATTTATTTGGAGTCTTCGCAGGAGGCACCAGGTTACGCAGATCCAGCTCCAGCGTGCCTGGGATCACAGAGTGTTACACTATGATGGTCAGGTTTTGTAAAGGCGGTCTGTAGGTAAATGAAAGACTCGAAACACCTAAAGTTTTATTTGTTTATCTTCAATTGTGTCTCACCCAGGTAATCGTCCAATGAGAATTTGTCGTTATCCCAAATCTGAAGGATCAGCTTGGGGGGAATCCTGAACTCTGTTTTGTCAAGACTCCAGAAGCGCTCCTGGTGAATAATGAAAAATATATTTGACTAAAATTGCCCTTTTGTAATAAGTCTATGATTGATTGTCAGTCCAGATCAGCCTCACCTTCTTGGACACGAGGCAGAGTTGTTCGGCCGGCAGATACTCAAACTCAAAGACGAACCTCCAGTTGAAGTTTCCGTCTCCGTCCAGTGAGCGGTAGTGGACGTCCGTCTTCTGCTTCTCATCCTCCATGCCCGCCATCCAGCTGCAGAGGAAACAAACGGAGTGAACATTTACTGTTCAACAGATCCCTGGTAATTCCTTCTATACAGCTTTGCTTTCAAAGAATTAAAAATAAAATCTATAAAAATCAGTTTTAGCACTGAAGCAAGTTCTGAATAATCCAGTATTGTATATTTTTCTTTTGCAATGTAACCGACCCTGTTTGATGGATTTCTTTCTAATAATGAGTGTTTTGTCATCATTTTTTCAATAATTATATGTACAGTATATGCTTATATTAATATCAAGTGTTTTTACTGTAATAGTGTTGAAAACTCATAATGCAACAAAATGAAAAACGTTAAAAAACACTGAAAATGTGAACAAAATGAAGGCATGAAAGCAGCATTAGAACACTTTAACTAGTTTAATTGTTAAAAATTCACCAATGCACTCAGTCATATATAATTTATATTAAAAAAAATGTCCTGCCATAAAGTTTATTTGAATGATTTATCAGTCCTACCCTTTGACATAGATGTCACTCATGTGCTCTCCTGTGATGCTGGCCTCGTCTAAAGTCACGTCTGTGGTGTTCCAGACGACCGCACGGAGGAAGTACCTGAACATACAAACACAGTGAACGTTAATAACTCAGTGGCATTTCAATGGGACCAGGGATGAAGCACCAAAAAGTTTAAGAGAAGTCCTCACTTCTTAGGCTTTCGCGGCGTGACGTCAAATGGAGGGCCAGGGGGTCCGATGCTTTTCGGGAACACATCCACCCACATCTGGAGCTTTCCCTGAATGAACACATAAACAGTTTTACAAAATAGCTGCATCAGGTTGAATGTACACATGTAGGTTTTAGCTGTGACCTCTGACCTGGGAGATGTTGGGCTGGAAGGTGCTGTAGAGGGTCCGGGTCTCCACGTGTTCGGGGACCAGTCCCTGTTTTCTGAGCACGTGCAGACAGAGGCGCTCTCGGGGGGGACCCAAGTGCTCGTGGATCTCCTTGGTGTTCTCTGGATGTGAAAAATAAAAGTTACGGCTTTATTAGGCTTATGTTTTATTATATATACTTAGTCAAATTAGATGCAGGAAAAAGGAAACTAAGATACAGTCAAGCAACCCCCAACAAAAAAAACATGTTATTTTTCATTCATAATTGATTGATAACATAACAAAAAATACAATTTGAGGGACATTGGAAACAAAATCATCATCACCAATATTGGTTATATTGGCACTTGTTTGAACTATTATTATATTATATTTAAGACCATTGACATTACCAAACTCAGCCAGCGTGTATTCTTTTCCATTGAAGGCGAGTGATGTGCCGTTGTCTTCGGTCCTGGGTTTGGACAGGCCCTTCATCCGAGCCAGGTTCTCCAGAATCAGAGACGGCTTCATCTGGTCCCGCCACTTGTTGATACCAGAACTGAGACGCACACAGATATAAAGTAAGGATCCAATTGTAGGTTTTTCGGTTATTTTTCTAAATGTCCCCCTTTGAGGCGTTTCCTTACATGCAGTATGTTTGTGGAAGGCCGCAATAGGAGTTATATCGGGACAGGAAGCGGTTCTCCAGGTCAATCACGGTCTCGCCGACCTTCTCGTCACGGGTCAGCATATCGTAGTCATAGACGGAGATTTTCAGGTCTTTATCCTGGGGCAGGAAACACGTCATCTCAAACATCCTGAACAAAACAAAGGGATTGTTTGAGAGGGGTTTACCCTTTAAAAAAGGAAAATTATCTGTAATCTTTGTTTAAATCTGTCAATTTACCTTCCAAACACAGGGGTGGTGGTGTTGGGTAAGTAATGGTCTCTGTCGTCAATCTTGTTCTTCCCCAGAGACATCTTTATGTACGGATCACACTGAGCAGGACACAAGTTCAAGCAGAAGTTTCCAACTGGGCCACAAAATATGCTTCCTTTATTCCTGGTATTTAGGATTTTTTCTCACCCTGCCATTATTGTCTTTGGGCTGCAGGTCGATGGCCTGGACCACGTAAATCCGGACCAGACACTCCTGAGGCCCGCTCTCTGGCAGCTCTCTGAACTGACGGGGCGGGGGGGCAACACCAGGGTCATCTGACAGAGGGTACACCTTGAATGAACCCTGCAGGTACAAGAACACACACACACACTTAAAAAAGGGATGGATTCGATGTTCGAAGGGAAGTTTTATGAGGACTTTTTGTTGGTGGCTTGCTGTTACTCCTTCTCCATACTGGGGACCTGTAAACGGACATCTTCTTTTACACCAACTATGGACAAGCACCTCATACAAGCCCATTTAAAATCAATCGAACTACATCTTCAGGAACTGGGCTTGGTCCAGAGCGGAGGAGATTCAACTCCATTCACAAGTTATATATATTTTTTCTGTCCAACAGGAAATAAATTAAACAATGTTTTGCTAAATATTTGATAGATTTGATCAAGTGTTAGTGTTCTGAGTTCTGTCAAACTACCTTAAACTCTCCAACCACACTGGGGTCATCATCCCCATTTTCATTTTTGCCCCGCAGCAGTTTGAAGGTGCAGCAGAAGTCAGTCAGCCCTTTGAACTCTGGGACGTCCTCCAGCTCGCAGTCAAACACCTGAGGAAACAAAGACACATTTAAGTCATTTTCAATATTTAAAGTAGCTGGTGTGGGAAGAAGAAAAAAAGCAGACTTACTTTGAGCATGTCATATCCTTTTTTGAGGTACGGGCCACATTTCTGCTGGTCTCCAGTTGAAGCGTATAATTTACTCCACCAGTCGACTGTCTCTTTTTCCTAAATATTGAAATGCACAATGTTAAATTTGATATATATATAGTTG